ATGTATATGTTAAAAAGTAGGGGGGATAAGACCGAACCCTGCGGCACCCCACATGTTAGGGGCCTCAGGGACGATCTCTCATTAAGTTCACAATCCAAGATACACATAAAGAGATTTGGTTCCTTCCAAGATACCACTAAGCTTATTGAAAAACAATGATCTCGCTTTCTAAAGAATTATACAAATATTTATTAAAACAGGCTCAGATAATTTATTAATAACAGATTTTACATAATTCTAGAAAAACTCGCTACTCGCTTATCCTTATTTGCCACAGATAAAAACAATCAGGGCAATGCAGCATTTGGCATCAGAAGCCAAAAAGGTGCTCTGAGATAATCACAAAGTCACATCATCCTGGGAAAATATATCTTTCAGCTAAAGATTTGACATCATCATGGTGTGACAAGATGTTTTGGTATGGGTAAGGCGTCACAATTTACCTAACTCATATGAAAATCTCATGGCTACCAGCAGATCATATCTTTTTTTTTTAATGCAACAGGAGTAGAATGTGTACCTGTGGCCTTTCCAAAACAGCCATTCATTTCAGATGCAAAGTATTGCAGATGTTTAAAACAACTAAAGGTGCCCTTTGTTCCCTTTAAAGGGAAAGCTACTTTCTGGCTTGAACTGAGGATCTAAGTAACTTTAAGATTTTAATAAGATATATCATTCACTATGGCACAATTTCCAACCATGCAGCACTGTAATGTCTTCACATAATTAACTAGTTCTGGACTCTACTAACTAAGCCATGAGTATCAAACTTGACAGTGTCATGTGACATTATCATGACCCTTTTTTGCCTTTGCAGAGCTGGGGTGGGTGTTGCCTATATGTGACACATCCAGCCTGCGGGCCACCAGTTTGACAGGCGTGACCTAACAATATAGCTCCATCATGACACTTTCCATAGACGGAACAACATATGAGGCACATCAATACTGCTATGTAATGTAAGCTTCTATTTCATAATCTGGAATCTTCACTGACAAATAATTTTTCCCCAAAGCATTCTTGAGCAAAACATTTAGTATACGTTACAAGATGTGCTCCAGAGTTGCAGAAGAGATGAGCAAAGAGACAAAGAGACTTACTGATCCAATGCCATCCATCAATGTTAACAATGAAGCTACAATTCTTTTTTCAACTTCGTTCTGGGATTCTTGTCTCTTTGGACAGAGCGCATCAATTTCATCAATAAATATAATGGACGGTCGTCTTAATAAAAATGAGAAATAACATGTTCCTTGGAATATACAACTAAAAGCAAAATAACAGCATACCTCTTAAAATATGCACACTAGAATAAATATGCATATAAAATGAAAAGGTAAAGACATCCTCAAATTAAACTCAATGTCTACATTCTATACGGTCATGTCCTACTTCTCAAACCACTATTGCCTTTTTCTAGGGTATTTTTTTCAACCTCATCTACTAGCTCATGGGTGTCAAACTCACCACATCACATTACTGTCACATGATGTTTCGTGACGTTTTTGCCATTCACGGAGCTGGGATGGGTGTGGCCTGCATGTGACACATCCAGCCCATGGGCTGCCAGTTTGAAACCTCATACTAGCCTCTGACATCATGGTAGCATCCCCTCAAATTACCCATCAAATTACTAATCGGGTCCAACTCTGCTTAATTTTTTCAAGATCAGCCAAAGAGGTTGGGTGCTGCCACCTGCTATGACAGCCAAAAATCACACTGAATAATTTAAGAGAATAATAATGTATCTTAAAATAGTGCATACATTCAAACACTAACTATAGGCCAAAATTTGGAATACACACTCTTTAACCATCATAGAAATAAAGAGAGAAGAGGTTATTCTTCCCCAAAACATGAAAGCAAAATGTAACCCCAATGAAAATACAAACCAAAATACAATGGCTATGAAAATAAAATCTACAAAAAAATCAGTATGGCACACTGTCATTTATAACTTTCTACCAATTATCCTGAGGTATGGGCTTTTATATCTACCTACCTACCTACCTACCTATCTATCTATCCATCTACCCACCCACCTACCCACTCACCCACCTACCTATCTAGGTAAGCAGTATGACCCTTATGAGCACTAATCAGCCTACAGATATCTTATTGGTGTCCATCAGCCATGTTGATTCACATGACTTAATATTTACAAAAATATTATTCTAACTAAAAATAGTAAATGGGAATATGGCATTCAACAAAACAAATTCCAGCCTTTGGCATCATTAGAATGCTTCTGGACTAAACTGCATGTTCATTTTTTGGTGACTGTAAGTCAATGCTTTCTTTAGAAGAAACTCCATCTACCCAAGAAGAAAAACTAAGCTAAGTTGGAAGTGCTAAAAAGCATGTTCTAAAGATAGAAGAGTTGGTAGGGAGGAATGTAATACTTTGTCTTCTAAGAAATAAACATTTTGTGGGCCCAGCAGCCATTTTTAAATAGACAAACTCCCTCTCTTGGCAGCTATTTTATGAGGGCTCAAAAATATTTGCTCTAAATATGCCATTAGAGGGGGGGAAATTACATGTTCCTTAAGTTAAACCATCGGAAGTAACTTCACTGAAAGAATAGAAGCATACCGTAAAGAGGCTTCAGAAAATATTTGTCGTAGCCTGGCTTCACTTTCTCCATAAAATCTACAAAAAAATCAAACATGATTCAGTGTCAAAAGTGTGACCCTCATACTGTTTCCTATACAGATAGATTATTGGGTGAACATCTTGATATAAATACATCATAGGTCCTTCATTACATTTACAGATGTAGCTGTATCCTATCTGGGTAGCAAAGAAACACTGTATTTTAAATACAGTAAGTACATTGCTAATTTAAATTTAGATAAAGCACGACTGAAATAAATCAATGAAGGGCACTTACTTGCTTATTATTTCTGGGCCATTAACTGTACAGAAGTGAGCTTCAACTTCATTTGCAATTGCTCTGGCTAGCAACGTTTTTCCTGTACCTGGAGGGCCATATAATAGCACTCCTCTTGGAGGTGGGATTCCTTCAGTGTCACACATAAACAGCAAAGAACTGAATTTAATTCTTGGACATTGTATAAAGTTAAAAGTTCATAATCATAATAATAAAATTATCCCTATATTAACATTAAATTACTAATGAAATACTGTATTATATATGAAATGTGTCATAATTATTTTTAGAAGCATCCCAAATGGCAGTATTTGTAAGGAACTGAACAATCAACAGCACAATTTTTGTTGCTAAGAGCCATTTTAACTACTGCTGTCTATTTGTATCTTTTAACTTAAAATAATTGAAAATGTCTGTGTAAACTTTTATACATTAGCTTTTAAAAACCATGAGAGTTGCTTTTTCATGACAGTTAACATAGAAATATTTTGCTACTCTTTCGCCGATATGGACTATAAAGAAAACTGCCCAATTCTAAGAGGAGTTTTTTGGATGCCACCACAGAAAAAATATTTGGAAAAACTGATTTAGGCCATTAATACATTCCCGCTTATTTAACAAGCTATGGTTAAGCAAAACGTGACAGACAAAAAAACCAATTAAATCATTGTACAGTACTTGGCAGGTGAAGCAAAATACTAAAAGCAGTATAAGATCTGCCATTTTAAGAAAAACAAAGGCATTTAAATTGTGTCTTATATTATTTTATAGGGTTACAAAATGAAGTACAAAGTAATTTATATCACATTTTTATATCATAGATATCCTACCATATTTTCTAAATAGATCAGGCTGCTTCAAAGGAAGCTCAATCATTTCTTTTATAGTTTTCAGCTGGTTACTGAGTCCACCTATTGAATCATAAGTAGCTTTTGGTTCAAGATTGTACTCTTCTGTCTTTTTGACTTGTGGTTGAATGAAACTGACCCTTGTCCTTGATGATATGAAGTAAAATGTTTCCCAATTCTGTGTCAGTCCTGTTTTATCAGTCAAAGGTAATCCTTCACCTGCAAAACCTTTCTCACAGTCTTGTGATATGATTGATTCAGAATGAAGGTTAGACTCATCACCATCAAGGATCTCTGCTGCTGGATCAGGACTCAATGCTTCATGCCCCATACTATTTAAAGAATCATTCATGTATATGATATGATCCTCATGCTTACATGGAGTACTGGTAGATACGTCATTGTCTGTTATTACTAGTTTTCCAAACTCAATAGATATATTGAAATGACTACTGGTCAAATTCTCCAGCGGTAATTCCTGTGGTATCTTTAAAACATCCTGCATTTCCTGCAACACACCATCCATTCCTTTCACCTTTGTAACCTTTAGATCACAAGATCGGCCATAGAAAGTAATTTGCAGGAAATTTCCTGGCAATACTATCTTTCCATCTGCAAAAGGAAGATTAAGAAAACCAATCAGATTTCTCACATAGTCTTCGTTTATTATTGCATAAAAGTATCTGTTAATAATACCATGTTTCCCCGAAAATACGACAGGGTCTTATTTTCTTTTTACCTACAAAATATGGCTTGGGCTTTATTATGGGGGGAGGGTTTATTGTTTTGGGGTTGGTGGGCGGCTGCCCTCTTGCGAGTGGGCTCCCAAAGAGCCGGGCATAGCCTCATGGACGAATGGCTGTCGCAGCAGCGCAACACAACAGCCATGAAGCAACCACACTCACGAGCAGCCACCCGGCAAAACCCCTTTGCAGCTGGGCACAACGCTATTCACTGATCTAGGGGAATTGCCAAGCCACGCGAGCTCCTGTTCGCCGCTGCCCGGTTCCCGCGGCTTGGCGCCTTCCAAATGCCAGTGAATGAAACTCTGCACAGCTGGAGAGGGGGGTTGCGCGAGCGGCTGTTCCGCTCTCGCTCACCCACCTCTCGGCCTCAGGATGCATGACCCAGCTCTCATTATGGAGCCAGGGCACCTCCACCGCCACCGCCATCCCAGCCTGACTTTTTCCACGGCTTCCAACCCGAGTCTTTCGGCAGTGGCCACTCTGGGCGTATGCTCTATGGCTGTACGCTCTGCAGGCAACTGGCCCACAACCATAGAGCATGCGCCCAGAGCAGCCACTACCGAAAGACTCGGGTTGGAAGCCGCGGAAAAAGCCAGGCTGGGATGGCAGCAGCGGCGGAGGTGCCCTGGTTCCATAATGAGAACGCCATTCACTGGCATTTGGAAACCGCCAAACCATGGGAGCCGGGCCGCGGCAAACAGACGCTCACGCGGTTTGTCGATACCCCTAGGTCAGTGAATGGCACTGTCCCTGGCTGCAAAGGGGGTTTGCCGGGTGGCTGCTCGTGAGTGTGGTCGCTTCATGACT